ACATTAAAAAATGTGTTCTATTCCTAAGAGATGTGTGAATTTGATAACCTCCTCTAGAACCATTTAACTAGACTACCACTTAGTAGTTTTGTAAGATTGAGGAATAGACAGGTACTACCACTTCCTGGGATACAACATTGTCCTACAGTAGCTAAGGATCAACTATACCTGCTAAAAATGATCCAATTTCAAAACTCCACCACTCTATACAAATCATTACCATACCCGACACACCAAGCTTAATAAACTGTCCCCAGTCTAACAGACTTTCGGTGGTCCAGCCTGTAATGCATTGAACAATGTTCTGTTAGATGAAAAGATGAAGTCTATATTCCAGAAGTGGCGTGTGAGAGCGGTGCATGCTTATCTCTGCAGTTTCCCTGATATGAAGTGACTAGGAGTATTTCTATACCTCAGCGGGATGCTAGTCCATTGCAGGATTACCTTGAGCATTCATTTCTCTAGTACCCATTCATACACTTGAGTGGAGGAGTGTTTTGCTTAAGAATACAGATCAACGACCCTAGCCAGGACTAATTAGCCTAAAGCACTCAATCTAGCCTGAGAGTTCAGTGTGCTAACCATTAGACTGCCACACAGTCCCAGGGACAGATCTAGGGGGAGGGTGCAGGGGGTGTGCACCCCACCCCCTCCTGAGATGAAGCCTTCTTCTTCGTATTCGCTTTTAAAATTTGTTTACTTCAACAGTCAGTTATGCCATTCCTTAGTGGTGCACCCCTCCTAAGAAAAATCCTGCATCTGTTCCTGAGTCCTCCCTCTATCTGGGGCCAGTGCTGAATACTATAATAATTTTAGATTTAAGAATTCTGAGGTCTGAACAAGCAAGCGGATATTTTGGGCAAATCATTACAATTATCACACTCCGGATTAATAAAACATCATGATCACGTCTTAAACTAATAAAATGATGAGGTCAACACATTTTTCATTTTCCATCTTATCATCAAAAGGAACTCATGATCAAATAATACCTGGCCATGTTTCTTTATGCAGCTTGAAAGCCTTCATATAGGAAAACAGCAGTAAAAACAT